GCACCAAAGCTTCAAGTTTTGCTACTAATTGATAAGTATAAAAAGGTAAAAATTTGGGCTAGATAGAGGGAGACTAGTGATCTTGCTTCCTTAGTTTAGCTTTTGTTCTGCCTCAAATTCATATGTAGCTAAGCCAGAGAGAATCTTAGGAATTTGTCTGAATTATCTAAACCCTAAGCCATATAGTTATGTATAATAGGAGACTCTGAATAGTAGTTCAGTCGTAGGAATTCACAGAGACACAGGATCATAGATTTAGAGGATGGGACCTTAGAGGCTGTTGAATCCAACCTCTTTAGTTTATTTATAAGAAAATTGAGGCGAAGAGAGTTCAAATTACTTGCCCAGAGTCAAAAAACTAGCAAATATCTAAAAAGAAATTTGAATTCAGATCTTTCTGACCCTAAGTTCAATGTTATATTTACTGTGCCTTGTTGTGAAAGATAGGTTAAGACTGGGGTTACTGATGGGTGTCCTTAATGAAGTATAGAGTTGGTCGGCCAATCCTTTTTCCTCCCTCCTTTCTGCTGGATAGGGGCAAAGATGAATTCTTCCCAGACCTTTTCTATATCCTGTCTGGAAGGAGGAGGGGTAGGGCAAGATTTAGGATGTAGAAATCTTTTCTCTTCTCACCATCTTCTACTGCTTCTCACCTTTCTCCCTGAGATTTAATTAGCCCCACACTGTTACAACAGTTAAATAATTTTTGTAGCCTACTGGCTCTCAGGTTCAAGTGATCTCCTCCTCTACTGTCTTATGGAGTTTAGAGCAAATCAAAAGTTAGTAGTACAATGACAATAGCTCAGAGTCCACAGGTAAGAAAACTCCTAACATCGAGGTCCTAATTTAATTATTTCTAATCTTTAGTTAACACGTGGCCTCTTTATGTTTGGTGCAAAAATCAGCATGTAGTAAACATTTAAGTTACAAGAAGCAAGCAGAATGTCACAGTATCTTTCATTGGACTTGTATGGGGAAAAAGCTTTTTGGAAACTATTTTTGGAATTTCCCTACATCTTTGAAGAGGTGGGTATAACCAGAAGCTTTAACCTGACTCCCTGCTGCAAGACCCTAGGGAGGGGGGAGGGGGACACAATGGCCCTTCTTCATCTACCATAGCTCCATCCTCCCTTTAATCTCTCTTTCACCTGTTGCCGTATACTATTGATTCTTCCTGTTTCACTTCTTTTAAATCCTAGGTAGGCCTTGGGACACTGTCTCCCTACTACGGCTCAGGTCTTTTTACGTCTCCATCTAATCTAAGCTTGGGGGTACTCTACTTGGATTTTGTTTGCTGAGTATGGTGGCCATGACTAAGGAACTCTCAGTCTGTCCTTTCTAGGGCAAGCTTTTAGCCACTAGCCAACAGAGATAGCCAAGCTGGCCCTGAAGAAATTAACATACCAGTACAAACTACAAGACCAGAAGAGCAATGTGCCTAATGAGGAACAGGCTGAGCAAAGATCCTGTAGCCAGAAAGAAACACGTCTATCCAGCAAGTCCAGTAAAGTCTGCAAAATGCTATGGAAGAAGTGGGTATAGTTACAGCAATGTGATGATATCATCAGAAGATATCAGGGATCCTGCATCATTGATGGTATAACAATGACATTGAACACTAATACAGTATTTTAAGATTTGCAAAGCACTTTGCTTATGTTATTTCATTTGAGCCCTACAATAAACCTATAGGGTAGACACTATAATTATCTCCATTTTATAGATGAGGAAACTGAAGCTGAGAAAGGTTAAATGACTTCTATAGGGTCACACAGCTAGCAAGTTTCAGGAGGAGGATTGGAACTCAGGTCTTCCTGACTCTAAATCCAGTGCTTTGTCCAATATACCATCTTGCTGGCCTTCTACAAGTATTTCCCATATGTGGGACTTTCATTTGTAATCCTACGCATGCTCACTCATTTAACTGGTAGTACGTATATTTGTGAAAGAGAGTACATAAGGTTTAAGGAGGGAATGTTCTATTGCAAATCTTACTAGGTTATTTCATCAAATGCTCTTACTTTAAACTAACTGTGTCCTCTAGACAAGTAAAGCAAATGTAAGTGAATTGGTAGGGAGCTTGTGAGCTATCCTTTTGAGTGAACTTGGACCCACAGAGTTGTACTTGGGTCACGCCTGGGTGTGAAAGAGGGGTGCTACAAGTATTACATAGGCAAAGAAGCGGCTGTATTTAGGGGCTACCAAGACTAAGTATAGATATCAATGCAGTGGTTAATTCAGGAGTCCTACAATGGACACCAGGCTAAAAATTTCAAAATCTAGTTATCCAAGATTATATCAATGAAGATTTCATTGAAGTGGTCGAGTCAGGAGTCCTATAAAGAACTCCAGGCTGAAAGTTTCAAAGTCAAGTCATGTAAGATTGCATGCAATGTAAAGCATCTCCTCTTTCTGGGGCAAGCAGGAACTCCAACACCACTAAACAGAGCTATATGAATTTACTCAAGCTTTCAAGAGGATTTTCTGTGTAAATAGTCAAATATGGATATTACTGAGTTAGGATACATACTTTAAGAAATTTACTTTAGGAATAAGATTTAAAATGTAGCTGTGTTCATATTGAATGCAATAATCAATATTGAGGGAGCAGATGAGGGGTCAGGGTAAGGATCAAAGGAAAATTCTGAAGAATTTGCCAACAGTGAAAAATCCTAGATCACATTGGGTATCAATACTATGACTAGGTCAGAATCCCTTTCTTTTGCATATAACGAAGCAACCTCTTTGATCCCTTCTACCTAAGAGATTGGACTTCTGATTCTAAATTCCGTTCTCTATCTACAATATCACAAAAGCAACATATTTGAGGAAGTGTGGAAAGAGACCTGTACTGTGAATCTGGGAACATATATCTGAGTCCTGGCGCTGCCACTGGAAAATGGTGTGGCCTTGGCCAAAACACTTCCTCTCTTTGGACCTCAGTTTCCTCACCTGTAAAATGAAAGCAGTGGACTAGATGACCTTCAGTTCTTTGATTTTGAGGCAACAAGGTATTCCCTATCATAACATCCTCCAAGCTTAGGGTGGCCTATTTCTTAGGACATCCATGCATTTTAAGTGGAAACATCCTAGACAAAGCCTTTTATTCAATTGGAAAGGATATTTTAAAATTACATCCTTATTTGAAGGATGTTAAATGCAACTTTTTGGTAGATACTTTAAAAATTCCCCATATACTATTTCACTGTTTCCTCAGCATATATTGGTACCTATTTAATATGGGAATTTATGTTTCTTCTCTATCCAGTGTGAGCCAAAGTTTTATAAAATTCATTAAAAATCAATACCACATACAGAATACTACATGTACACAAGGGGGCAAAGTTACTGCTGTTTAGGGAAACGCTGAATTTCCTGGCTTTGGCAGGGTAAAGTTGCAGCCATGAATCCTGTACTAACATAACCTTATTTTATTGCAAATTTATTTTCATTTTGAGTCCTAATTACCCCCTTTAAAATCTTAAACCACCATCAAGTTTTGCTCTGGCACTGGAGCACCAAAAACACTTGGAAGTCAAATTACACCACCCTGGCAACCACCAGCCATGAAAGGAATGGAAAAACCTACTGGATACACTTTTTTGCGATGAAGTAGAGGCTGGTGCTGAGGAAGTTTGAAGTAGAAAGGTAAGATTTAATTTATTCTCTTCATCTAGCCCACGTCTCATCAAAAAATCCTGGAGTTGGGGAGTCTCAGATTAGTTTGAGTGATACTCAGTTACTCTCTGAGGGACACTAAATTTAAAAAAAAAAGAGAAAGAAAAAAAGAAGTGATTGCATCTGGGACAACCTGAGCCCCAGCTTGGAGTCATTTCTCTTTACAGACTGCAAACGTTAAAAGGTCCTCAGCTGGGAGCCCGAGGCTCCCGAGTAAATGGGTTTACCCTGGTGGCACTGGGACAGATCAGCAGTATGCTGCCACACTGGTACTGTGCAGCATCTTTCTTCCTCATCCAGGTACCTCTTGGCAAGGTCAAGTTCCTTGTCATCTCTCCTTTCCCCCCATCCCAATGCTCTGCAGGGAACGCTTTGGGATCTCTTTTGCACACACATGCAGGAATGAACCTACAGAAACCCAGACACCCACTCGTCGTCCTTCCTCCCTCACCCCCAATCCCGCGGGCCAAAGCTATTTCGGAGCCCCAGCATAACCCTGGGCAGCCCGCGGACCAGGCTAGTGCAGAGCTCTCCAAGCACTCGTGAAAACCCGCGCGAGCAGGACAAAGCACGAGCTGGCGCGAGCAATAGGGCGGCCGCTGCACGCGGGGAAGGAAAGCAGCAGCGGGCGGCCGCGGCAGCAGGCGGCGCCTTGAAGCGCGCGCCACCTCGGGCGAGCCAGCGGAGTGCGCGCGCCCTGGCCCCCCCTCCCCCTTCGCCAAGGCTCCCTCCCTCTCCTCCCCTCCCCTCTTCCCCCCCCGCCTCCCCCCGCGCCCGAACCCCGAGCGCTATTCGCGGAGCGGCTTACGCTAGTTTCTGAGCGTACGGTACCCCAGTGGCTGGAGAGGCTGCGCTACCCGAATCCCGTAAAGTTATTGTGAATGGGGAGTGAGGTGACGTCAGCCCCCGAATGTCAACAATGTAGCGATTGAGAGTGTGGGCGTTCCGTAGAGAGAGCGCGAGCCAGGGAGAGCGAGTAACAAACAGAACCGAGGAGCAGCCGCCTGAGCCGCCGCCGCCGGAGCAGCAGCAGCAACAGCAGCAGCAGCAGCAGCAGCAGCCGCCGCCGCCGTCGCCGTCGCCGCGCACGCCGGGGCTGCGAGAACCGCCGCCGCCGCCGCAGCAGCAGCAGCCGCCGCCGGACTACCAAGCTTACAACCGCCACTGCCTCCTGCAAACAGCAGCATTGAACAGTATAAGCCCACGGCGGAGCTCGATCCGTGCGTGACACCAATTCTTCCCCGCCAGCCAAACACCCCCACCCCCACCCCCCCCCTCGGCCCCCTGCAGCCGCCTACCTCCTCCACCCGCTCTCTCGCCTCTCCCTCGCCCCTTCCCTTGTTACATTCCCCCCACCCCCTCCCTTTCCCTACGGACTTGGGGGGGCTGGGAACGAGCTGCCATGTGATGCCTGTCTGGCCGGGTTTCACTCGGTAACCCCCGAACCGAAAGCCACACACCGGCTGGCCGGCCGAAGCCGGGGTCGGGGGGTGGGCGGGGGGTGCTTGCAAGCCTGAAGACGGGGAGAGAGAGAGAGGGGCAAAGACGCAAAGTTCCTGGAAAAGGTGAGTCCTCTTTTTCTCTTTGCAAGCTTGCCTTTTCCCAGGCGCTTTGATGACGGGGGAAGTTTTCGGCGTGGCTGACCTTAGGGGAGGGGACAGGCCCTTTCCAAAGTGGGAAAAGGGACACTGGAGGAGAGGGTGGGGGACGGAGAAAGGGTGGAATGGTGAAGGGACGGGAGCTGGAGAGAACTGTGTGGTTCTGGGGGAAAAGAAAGGGGAGGGCGAGGCGAAGAGAGGCAGGCGTAACTGGAGTGGGAAAGGAAAAATCTCTTAGGGTCCGTCCGGCTCGCGGAGTGTGCAGCGAGCGATTCTTTGCAGAGCACCCTCCTCTTCGGCTTTTATGACATTTTCTGGGAATGGGGAAGGAAATGGGAGGTCTTCCCCCACGGACACTGGACGTGTGTGTGTGTGTGTGTGTGTGTGTGTGTGTGTGTGTGGAATCGCCTTGTCGTTTGCAGTAGGGGAAAATCTGTATTATATTCCGCATGTGTCTATGGGTGTTTTGGAACAGCAGGGGAGGAGGAGCGGAGGGTAATAAGTCAGGCGTGCGGGAGGGTTTGGGGAGGTGTTGGGGAGAGAGGTTTTTGTTTTGTGCCAGCCGAGCAAAGCAGCTGTCAGATCTGCAGGCCTTTTAACCCGAACTGGGGGCGGTAGAATGGAGTGGCCAACCACCGCCACACCACCACCCCTCCATCCCTTTACCCGGTCCTCTTCTTTCTCCCTTCCCCAGCCTCCACCTTCCCCTTTCCTTTCGCTGCGCTTTAGCCCAAGGCTCGAAGTCCGCTGGCCAAGACTTGGCCCCCTCCGAGCAGTTTTCGCGTCAGCTGTCATCTATCTGCTGCCGCCGCCGGTCAGCTTGGACTCCAGCCGCCGCAGGCGTGGGGAGAATGCGCAAGTTCGGTGTTGTGGAGGGAGGGAAGATTAGAGCTACCCGCAGCAAATTCTGGCCCGCGGGGGGAAGCAGGGGTGGGGGATGGAGCGAGAGTCCCCAAATTAGTCTGGGAGAGAATACGGTTTGTGAGAGACTGTACGTTTGGCATCTCAGCTGGAGTGAGCTCCTTTTAAACATTCTCCTGCAAAGTGTCATTACTCCCTCGCCTAGCTCCGCTCTGCTTCCCGCCCCGAAATCCTAAGCTTCGCCCTGCTGCAGAAGAATTTTTATTAAAGATTTACGCCGCCCACCCGCAAGCCAGGGAATTGTCAATCAAAAGTGTTCTGGATCCCTCAGCGTGCCTTTCTCCCCCACCCCTCCCCACCCCTCCCCACCCCTGCTCCAGCCTCGGGTGAGTCTGAGACTCTGGCCGGAGTCGGCAGTGGAGGCTGGAGTTTGAAAGGAGATGCTGTCTTTTGTAATTCACAAGCCACCCTCCCGGCACATAACCTTTGGAGAGGGAAAACAAATGAGCATCTTTGTGACCTCTGTCTAGCTCGGAATTCGAACCTTACCTTCCCAAGGAAGGAAGTGCTGACTCGTGTAGTAAGAGAGCATTCGCTCATGTTGGGTGGTGGTGTGTTTACGTTCCCTTATTGTAAGTGATGTTTGGTGTCTTGCACTTAGTCGTCTTTTAGACGGATTTTACAACTTGGGTGAAGTTACGGTGGCTTGAGATACTTGGGTGACTTTTAGTTTCTTTGCTGGGCATTCGAAAATCCAGCCTGCCATCCAGCCCTTTCCAGACTGGTGGTGTGCCAAGGGTAGAACCATCTATTAAATGGTCCATCACGGAAAACCTCAGATCGGAACAGTGCTCCGTGGTTAGAATTGCATTTCTTAGACATCACCTTTGGTGATGAATTTTTCACGCTCTGTGTAAATTTCATCTGTTGAGTGTATTTAACTAAAAAGGATAATTACTTCAAATAAAAATCCTTTCCTGCCTAGTGGGAACCCTGGTGAAGATGATGCTTAATGAGATATTTTGCTTTTGTCTGTTTAGAGTAAAATTAGAGATGTTAACTCTGATAACGATTTTCTCAGATCATTAAAATGTAACATGTAGGAAAGGCAGTTTGCTGCAGAGGCTCTGGCTGTCATGAAAGAAACTAAGTGTGAAATCATGCTTCTTTCCTTTTGTGGAACAGGCTATTTTTGTAATCCAAAGGGTGTCTTTCTTAAAAATGCTTTGGTTATTGTGAGATCACCCTACTCTGATACAGAAATACTGGCAGTTCTGGAGTAAACTGCATTTTTTCATTCTTTCAGGTAATAATAAATGTGAGTCAAAAATGACATCTTGCTAGAATCAGTCTTTAGTATGTAAGAAAGATTGCTAAATTACAGTGTTGTTATTCAGGCTGCTATCCGTTAAAGGTATATCAGCATTTTCATTAAAAATTCAGTTTTTCAATAGTTTATAATTTCACCATAAAACTTTTAGTGGCAGAAATGCTTTTCACTTGGAAGATCTTTGCTTAAAGCATTCTGATTTTTAAAAAATGGATTGATTGTTTACTTTGTTCTTCTTAGTGCTTTCAAAACGTAAATAGTATTTAAATCGTCTGATAGAGATGGAATTCAAAAGTGTAACTGCAACACCATAGAGTAATTGTTTTTAATACTGAGAGGAAAAAAAATAAGTTGAAGGTTGTATTCATACAGACTTTTCATATTAAGTATTAGAATGTTTCACATTTGTTATTTGGTTCCTAGCAATGAGTGCTTCTTTCTGAAATTTTGACCGTTTCCCCTGTAGGTAGATGAAAATATCAGTTATTGTGTGCATTGATATTATGTGTATAAATACATTCTTCATACATATCTTGACTCCAACCAAACTTAATGGCACAGTTTTCTGATAGATTTATAACTGTTTGTAAGACACCTCTCCCCTCCCCCCCCAAAAACAAAACAATGAAAGAAAGAAAAAAGAAATGCAGGTAGGTAGGAGGAAAGGTCTGTTTCTATTGATGCTTGTGACTGGGAAGAAATCATTTATCATCTTTTTCTTGAACTCTCTATGGCAATTCCCTAGCCTTGCTTCACCTCTTGGGGCCTTTCTGTGGCGCTTAATTATTTGCAAACTGCTTTGAAATCCCCAGATGAAAGGCAGCATGTAAGTGCAAAAAGTATTGTTATTCAGATATGGATGTTAATGAGCCATTACAGTTCTTCAGGAAAATGTCTGTTCAAAGATGGTAGGAAACATTTCCACCTGATAATAACTGCTTAAAAGTAGGTTCAGATTACCAATGAGATCATTCACTCCAACCACGTCCTTTTCAATTTGTTGCGATTCATTTTGTGATCAAAGTGAGTTGCATAGAGCCAGGTGGTCAGGTTCATGTTCGCATCTATGTTGGGCCAGTACTTCACTTCTGGACATCTTTAGCAACTCTCTGTAGAGCTAGAGGGAGTGAGTTATTCATTTGCATTTGTGATGGTCACTTCAGAGAACCTCCTAGGAGGCCAACAAAAGGTTTTAGACCAATTTGTGTTGTTGGTAATTATGTCATTGTAGCTTGATTTCACTGGTGTGGACTCAGATGGGCAGGTACTGTAGCCTGTATCAGGCTGTATACACAGTGAAACTGGCTCTGGCTTCAGTTTTTAGCAGTGGTACTTTTACTTCCAGGAGGTCAAAAGAATTGAGAAGGAGATGGACAAAGCTGCCTGACTTAATACAAGCACCCCCATTGGCTTTCACATATGCTTTTATGAATTAATGGCAGAACAAATATTAATAAATTGTACTAGGGACACAGATGAAATCTGAGAAGAAAAAATTCCAGTTTTAACAGTGTGATTCCATCTCTTAACTCTACCCTTTCCTTCCTCTTTTGCTTGTTGTGGACTAAATATAATAGACAGGTGGTCTTGTGGAGAGAGCAGTCATCAGGAAGATCTGAGTTCAAATTCAGCCTCAGACACTTGCTAGCTTTGTGACCCTGGGCAAATTACTTAACTTTTCCTAGGCTCAGTTTCTTCATCTGTAAAATGGGGAATAAATAATAGCACCTACCTCCTAGGGTTATTTTGAGAATAAAATGAGATTATAGTTGTAAAGTGCTTTGAAAACCTTTAAAATACTATATGAATGCTAGTTATTAGAGATATGTGGCTTTGGGATATCTGAAGACCATATTTATTTATTCATTCAGAAAGCCTTTATTAAGTATCTGCTATGTACATTACTCTGTTTATTACCTATTTATTACCTATTTATTAAAGATAAAAGATGCTGTCTTTACTGAGGAGGTTCCAAAGATGAATAAGACATTACTTCCTGATCTTAGTTTAAGGTTAAAAGAAGAGGTAATAATAATAATAACAACAACTAATAATAGTAACTAATAACAGTAGCCAACATTTATATAGGTTTCTAAAGTGCTTTACAAATATTATCTCATTTGATCCTCACAGTAACCCTAGGAAGTTGGGGGTTACTAGCAGAATGCTATGTAAGAAGCCTTCCTGATTTTGGAATTGGCTTGTGATTGATAATATTTTCCCCAAGTGATCCCTTCCACAAATTGAAAATTGAAATTTCTGTGCAGAGAATTTGATCCCTCCAGCTCTTAGAATCTTAATCTTCCTTCAAGCCTCAGACATGACCTCTTCTGTGAAACCTTCTCTGAACCCTGTAATTTTTTGGGCTCTCTTCCTCCTCAAGAATCTTGTTTATATTGACTTTTTCAGTCTTCATATTGTATTCTTGCCATCATCCTTCCTCCTCAGAAATTGTAAACTACTTTGAAGGTAACCCTGTCCTTTTGTCTTTGAAACCCTAACACCTAATACTGTGCCATACACTTGGTAGCTTGCTTAATAAATGTTAGTTGAAATTGTATAAAAAGAAATTAGGCTTAGCTTGGAGCAATTTGAGGTCAGAGTAGTCACACCGAAGCCTGGGGAATAAGTCAGACGTAAATTTAGGGTGATAGTTGGGCATGCTAAATTCAATTTAACAAACACTTATTAATCACTTAACAGTGAATTACTGTGATAAAGACAAAGCCGTAGATGATAGAATTATATAGAACCAGTAGTTAGTGGCAGTTGAGAA